TCCGCGCCCCCGTCCCCGGCCACTGCCTCAGCACAGGCCTCAACGGCCGGAAACCCGGAGCCCGCACCCCAGACCCCTGCCAAGCTGGAGCCCAAACCTATCGTCCCCAAAGCCGAGCCCAAGGCGAAGGCCCGCAAGACGGAGGCCCGAGGGCTGAGCAAGGCGGGGGCCAAGAAGAAGGCTCGCAAGGATGCAGCGCTGGCGACGGAGGCGGAGGTGGAGGTGGAGGAGGTGAGGCTGAAGGTGCAAGGAGGTGCCGGGTCCGCGGGGCCTGAGGCGGGACTGGGGGCGCGGGAGATCTTGAGGGGAGGAGGAGGGCAGCGGAAGCAGGATAGGATGGGACTGTGGGTAGTCTAGTGTAGCCTTGGCCTGATCCCAGAGGACGAGGAAACACAAATGACAAGGGAGAGCCCTCCTACCTGGAGGCGGGTACCTTGGCCCCTGGGGTCCCATCTGCAGAGCCCTTCTCAGTAGCAGGGACAGCTGAGATGGGTGCACCTGCTCCATCCGGGCGTGCGGCCTGGGCCTGCAGGGAGAGCTTCCTGGGGGCGGAGGAACGGCCCCATGAGGCTTGGGCTCTGGACCTCTCTGCCTGTGGGAAACAGGAGCTAGTGACTGCAGTGACTGCAGCAGCGAACACTGAAGTGAGGCTCTGGGGGACTAAGCGATGCCACCGGGAGGGATTAGCAGTGGGCAAGGCCGCTGAGCTGCATTCCAGGCCCACGCTGTGGTTTCTCTCTGGACTCAGAGCTTGGCTTCATGATTCCCAAGAATCCTTCAAGCTCTCATAGTCTGTGTCCAGGGCGCAGGATCCTGCAGAACTAACCAGGGGATGCCCTTAGGAGAGTTGCAGGAGTTCCCGCTCCTCTCCCCAGCCTTGAAACCTGGGTGGGGGTGTCCAGTGTCCCTGGGACTCAGACAGCCTCTCTCTCCTGCTCTAGGTCCCCAACACTGTCCTCATCTGCATGGTGATCCTGCTTAACATCGGCCTGGCCATCCTCTTCGTTCACCTCCTGACCTGACCCTCGTCTACCAGGTGTGGCAGAGGAGGGGACAGAGGGCAGGAGCCCAAAGGGAATCGGGACGGGGGCGGTAGGAGGGGTCTACTCTGTTCTGGGCACCTGTCCAAGGTTAAAGCTCGTTCCCAGCAGACGCAGGGACTCAGGGTGTGGGTGGATCCCATGCAGGTGCTCACACACACACACACACACACACACACACACACACACACACACTGCACTGGCCCAGCATCTGCCCAGCACCTGCTGTCAGGTGCATACTGGGCTTCACTCTCTCGCTCATTCCCTGGCTGTGCTGGGACTGACTCACTCCTGCTGCAGGCAGTGGGAACAGACCCTTAAGATGTGAGCAGCCCATAGCAGGAAAGTCGTAGGGTTCGTGCACCAATCTAAACAGTTCTTGATCCCCTCCCCCAGGTCCCCACATCTAGACTTAGTGTACCTGGCCTTAGTGCACCCTCCTGTCTCTGCCCTCCCTCACCCTCTTGTCCCACCTCACACTTTATTTATTTATTTTAAATTGAATTGATTGGTACATTTTAGGTATACAGTACAGTTACATTCATTACTGGGATCTTGTACCTTTACATGCCAGGTCTTGGTTCTCATTTTTCCCCTTGTCCCCACCCTCCCTTCACCCTCCCCTCCCCCCCTTCAAACACTTTAATTCCATTTTTACATTTTCTCATATTTTTTTCCTTTTCCCTTATTCCCCCTTCCCTATCCTTCTCACTGTCCCTACACCTTTGGTCCTTTTCTTCCTATTTGCTAAGTGTCCCATTAGGATCTTGAGTACTATTATAGTTTTTCACATCAGAGATACTATTCGGTATTTGCATATGTGTGCCTTATGTATTTCACTTAGAAGTATATCCTCAAAATGTACCTATTTACCTATGAATGAATCTACTTTCTAATTCCCACCTCACACTTTAGAGAGGGAGACATCTGATGTGCTGATGTGTAAATAGCCAATGACATATTGGCCTCATAGGTGCTTAGCTCTGTGGGCTCCCCGTATCATAGGGGAGCTGGGAACCCTTTCTGTAGGCAGTGATGACTCTGAGACACTCAAGATGAAAAGAAGTGATCCAGATGGTGGTGGGGGAGGAGGAGGGAAGAGAGGAGAGGCCCAGCAAGGGGAAAGTGTCCTCAAATAAGCAGACGCAGGCAGGCACCAGCCAGCCACGAGACCCAAGGTCATTGTCTCTGATCTGGGTGCAGAGGTGGAACCTTGCCCCAGAGAAGATCCAGCCTGAGGCCTGTGACCTCCTCAGCAGTTCACCTTAGAGTGCCCTTCTTCCCTTCCTCACTCACCCCTGTTCTGTCTCTGCAGAGCCAGGAGTTCCGCCGAGGGTGTCAGGACTCATCTTTTTGCAATGCAAGGCAGGTGACCAAGGAGGACTGGACTCGACCTGCAGCCCCAGGCCCAGCTCACACCATGCCACAGGCGTTTCAGGAGCCTCCTGTGGGCCCAGGCTGGGTGTCTGGGTGCCAGAGGAATAGAATATCTGGGAACGCTGAAGGAGCACTCTGCCCAGGGACAAAGGAGGCCCTGAGGGAAGAGCCCTGGTCTCCTGAGTTTCCTGATCTGCTGTCCCCCATCCTCATCCGCTTCCTTGCCTTGCCGCTCGTCACCCCCTCCCTGGGCTTTTGTGTGTTTTAGGAGATGTCACCTAAGCAGGATGTTAATGCTGAATCCCTCCCTTTTCCTTCCACCTTGCTCTCACTTTAATTTAATCCTCCGCCCCGGTGGACTGAGGCCACCCAGGAAGCTGAGAGGTTGCTGAAATGTCTCAGACAATGCAGCCTTACCCAGCACACACTGCCCCAGGCTTACAGATGCTCTGGATGACGCGGAGATGAACAAACTCGGTGGAATACGCCCGCGTGCAGTGCTCTGCTCCCATAGCACAGGGAGATGTACCTGTCAAGCTTTGGAGCCTTTTACTAGGAAGCCACTGAGCAGGGGACAGAGCTAGGCTGGGAAGAAGGGTAGGGTGCTCTTGTGCTGGCCCCTGTTTTTGCTTGTGTATGAGCCTGTGGCTGGGAGTAAGTTTAGGGCTGTCTGCTCGGGTTGCTGTGTAGGAGCCCTGGGGCCAGCGAGCTACAGCAGCTGTGATGCCCTGTGAATTGGTTTGTTCCCTCCCTGACCAGGGCCAGTGTGGACTCAGGGGAGCATGGCACGGAAGCTCTAGCAGTGAGGCTGACTCTCAGGCAGGTGCTGAAGAAGAACATTTCCCAGGAATAGAGGAGCAGGTCTGAGCTCCAGCCGAGTGCGGTCTGTGCAGTAACAAGCCCCTTTCAGTTTGGCAGAAGGTGACACTTGCGTGTACCTCACTTAAAGGTGTTTATACCACACTGAGCCTCTGGCCCTTGGGCCTCTAGGAGTGGCGTAAGGGCTGAGAGCTTGAAGCTCCTGCCCCCAGGAGCATGGAAGAAAAGAGCTTCCGGGCCCCTCCAGGCCTAGGGAAGCATGTGGCAAGGGGAGCAGAGGTGGAGGGAGTGGCTGCTCTTCCATTTGTCTCTGTGAACCTCAGGGGCTGGGGCATGAGGGCCAGGTCCCCCCAGGACAACTCAGGGCCTGAGTGTCTGGGGTCAGCTTTTCCTTTCACCCCTTAGTCCACAGGAACCTTCCCCTGCAGCTCACAGTTGCTGTTTCCAGCCCTGCTGGGAACTCGTGGCTTGGCTGGAACCCTGTTCAGCCATTCTGCAGAGAGGAGGCTGCAGGCGCTCCCATCGCAGCCAGCCACGGGCACACAGGGCTCTGAACCTGTATTTGGGCTTTGCTGGACTCCTGGGGAACGAGGTGGGCGGGCGGGGACTGCTCAGGGCTGATAGGCTGCAGGCCTGAGTTCTGAGGTTATTGTTCTTGTTTCCTGGGCCTGGTCCAGTGTTGGGGACCAGCCTGTGGCTACCAGAGCTGCTGGAACTAATTTGGGGCTGGTGTTGGGGTGCGGGTTCAGGATGCTGAGTCTGTGCAATAATAAACCTACGTCTGCTCACAGTCTGGGCTGTCGTCTCTGCTTGTGATGAGGCTCCGGGGTGAGGAGCTGCTGAAGGAGGGCAGGAGAGGCAGGGGTCCTGGTCCTTGCTGTGCGTGTCCTTGCTTTCTGAGGAAGTTCCCGTAATGCTTCTTGAGGTGCAGCTGAGGGGCTCCAGTCCTTGAGGTGAGTGAGTCTTGGGACTCGCACGGTGGAGTCTGCTTGTAAAGCTGACTTCCAGAAGCTCCTCTGAGCAGGTAGAAGTGGGAGCCTGCCCTTTGACGTAACAGAGCCCTGGACTTCAGTCCTCACCTGGACGCCATTACTTCCTTCGAGCCCCAGTTTCTTCACGTGTACAATGCGGTGGTGACGCTGCTCACTCACTGCGAGTGAGGGTTAAACACCAAAGCTTACGTAAAGCCCACGTGGAAGGCAGCTGAGCAGTGTCACAGTACTGGCACTCGGTCTGTCACACGCCGTGCTGCATTTTGTTGGAGGGCCCAGAACCCCCAAAGGGTGCGTATGGTTCAGGCCCCAGCGACAGTCACAGAATGCTTCAGGAGGGACCCAGATGCCGTCCATCCCCGTGCTCTAGGAGGCTCAGGGGAAGCGCCCTGCCCGTGCTATACGCCTCGGATCCCTGGAGGGTCACAGTTCTCTGGCTTGTGGGGCAACAAGCACTGCCCACGACTGTCATCTCGCTGGTGGCACAGCGAGAGGGTAGAGGACCAGTGCCTGTCACCCACCAATAGGCTCGCGTTCAGTGGTGGTCGCCGGCAGCCAGGGTTGTCTCTCCACCATCACTGACTCCCTGTGTCCGGACTTTCGGTGCCTCCATTTCTCTTCCGCCGAGGAGACCAGCAGAATTCTCCTGCCATCACTCTGCTCCCAGGCAGTGAAGTTATGACAGCCCCGTGAGGTGGGCTGTGGGTGAAGATGTTCTCGAAATTCTGGGATGACCCCTGGCTCCCCAGGAGGGAGGATAGTAGGCTTGGGGGAACCCAGAGGGGCAGAGGGAGTGGATGGGCGGAGGAAGGGGAAGCGGGTAGGCGGTGCCTGGTGTGCAGACTGGCTAGGCTGCGGGCAGCCTGGGAGGGCTGCGTTGGAATCACCGGACGCCCCGGGAGGACCACTTCCAGAGCTGGCACTGGAGACGCCGGGCAGCCCCTCATGGTTCGGTACACAGCCTGGCTGTTGCCTCTTCTAAGGGATTAAGGCAGCTCGAATGGGACCCTTGAGCTCAAGCCTGGACTGGGATGGCTGTGTTATCCTGTGTGACTCTGTGTCCCTCCTACCACAAACTCCTACTTCTGTCTTTTCTTTGTCACAGTAAGTAGTAAGGAGCTACATTTATTGATGATCACAGGACAGTAGCGGGAACGGGGAGAAGGGCGAAGGGAAAAAGAGTGAAGGGACAAGGACTCAAGGGCGAAAGGAAAAAGGAGCTCAAGTGGGAAGGGGAAGAAAAGGGGACTCAGGACCTCAGGCTTCTGGTATTTATAGGGTCAGACATCACCGCTCCAAAGTGCCTGTCTCTCTCTGTGTCAGCAATCTGTAAGACCTCCTAAACTTAAGCCTGGATAATCATTAGGGGAGTGCTTGGTTTATGGTTCAGTGGAGAGAAGGGAAATGGCTCCTACAACTTCCCTGACAGAGTCATGGAAGTGGGGATAATCATCAAGGGTGCTGTGGCTTTTACAGTCGAGTGAGGGGACGGGAATGACTCAGCTCCTTCGTTTCTAACTACTACCGACCTACGCCACAAGTGAAAAATTCCACATGGCGCAAAATAATTGAAAAGAGTATGTAGAATGAGCCTCAGGTTATACAGGAAACAAGCGAATCTTGGGTTTCGACTTGGGTCCCATCCCACACGTCCTTATGTATACAAAAATATTCCCAAATCCTAAATACTTCTGATCTTGGAGAAGGGACTCAAGTTGAACATGAAATTAGTTTATATTTCATATACACCTCCTATATGTAGGCCAGAGGTACTTTCATGCAGGTTTTGTCCGAGTGTGGAGCGTGTGTGTGTGTGTGTGTGTGTGTGTGCGTGCGCACGTGTGCACCTTCATTTTTGAAGGCAGCCTGAAGTCAAGTGTGGAATTCTCCACGTGAGGCCACATGTTGGCACTCAGAAAGCTTCAGATTTTGGAGCATTTTGGATTTTGTGTTTTCTGATTAAGGATGTTCGACGTGTAGCTGGACCAAGGAGCTAAGACAGGACCTATGTGTGTTTTCACCCAGGGTAATGGGCCCCCTCTAAACTACTGCTGCTGCTGGAGTCTCTGCTGGAACCCAGCCCATCCAGGCAGTGATCTTCCCTGACACCTTAAGCATGTGTGAGGCGCTGTGCTGGGGCTTCACCGGTGACCTCATCTCCCCTCCCACCATCTCTGTCTGTTTTCTGTTGCTGTACCTGAGTACCACAGTCTGGGTATGTTATGAAGAATAGTGGAGTATTTAGCTCTCAGTTCTGAGACCCAGAAGTCCACGATATTGTGCTGGCCTCATAACACAGTGAAGGATAACACACGGTGAGATGGAGCAAACGTGTATCAGCCCAGGTTCCTCTATTGCTCCTTACTTTGTTTCTCTGTGGTGCTGGGCATCCAACCCAAGGCCTCACTCACTCATGCTAGGCAAACTCTTACGCTGTGCTATACTCCTACTCCTCTCTTAGAAGGCTACTAATGCCAACATGAGGGCTGTCATGATTTCATGTAACCCTAATTATCTCTCTAAGCCCCACTTCCAGTTCTATTAACATATGAATTGGGGCATTAAGTTTCCAACCCTCGGTCGGTCATTTGAAGGGTTCAAATCACAGACCCCCCCAAGAAGCCAGAAATAAATCACCACGAGGCCCACTGTGCAAACGAGGGTGCTGAGGCTGGAAGTGGCCTCAGAGCTGTCGGTCCCACAGCTGTGTGCTCCGTAGCACCCTGGTCCTGCAGTGCCCAAGGTATCTGCAGGCTGGGGGTAATGGGAGGGACCACAGTGGAACAAAGTCTGAAAAGAGGGCAGAACTCGGAGGTCTTGGAGGGCAGGATGGAGAACCTGGAGTCTTCCAGCAGCCCCAGCACCAAGCAGCCATGTGCTATGGTAGGGAGGGCCTCGTCCCCTCCTGGAGAAGCTGGGCTCACATACAGGTGCCCACACGCACCCCATCCCAGCCTCTGGGGTGCATTGTGCCACTCTGAGGTCACTGTCTCAGAGTCGAGTGTAGGTCAGGCACAGGGTGGACCTGGTCTCCCAAGCACTGGCATTTAGGTAGCACGGATTTAGGTAGGAGCGAGCTCTTCTGTGCTGCTCTGGGACGTGGGCCTGAGAATCTACCTCTGCCACTCACTTGAGTTAGTGTATGTCCCCCTTATTGTCTTTAGATGGATGCAGCACCCTATTTTGCGGTGTGCAACCTGGACACTCAACATTCATGACTCCAAAAACCACCCAGGGCAAACCTCAGGGCGTCAGACGATTTCCCCTGCTATGGGGAGTGGTGTGATGGTTTGAAATCTCCCACTCATGTCCACAGCAAATGTGCCAAAGCTCCCAGAGTCACAGGTTAACACTTGACATGTGGCTCTGGTTGTGGCTCCCGACTCCGCATGCGGCTCATTTCTTTAGATGCAGCCATGGGGCAAATTCCTGGGAAGATCCCAGCAGGAGGGGAGTCCTGCAAACCTCAAGTGAAGCTGGCAGTGAACCACCTGGTATCTTCATGCTTCTGTGGTCTCCTCTCCTGAAACCCAGGCTGGTCCTGTGCCTTCCTTTAACCAAGTGGCTCTCTAGTCCTGGGGGTGGGATTGGGGTGGTTGTTTCCCTCCAGAGGACACTGAACAGTCTTCTGGGTGTCTTAGTCGCTTTCTGGCCACTGGGACAAAATATGACACCTGAAACCTAACAGAGAGAAGGTTTATTTTGGCTCATGTTTTCGTCCGTGGTAGGGCCGGCTCCAAAAGAGAAATAGCACGTCAGAGGGGGAAAGGGGAGGAAAGCTGTTCATAGCAAGGCAACGGAGAAGGAGAGAGCAAAAGGTCACTACCTCAATGACCACCTCTTCTGAGCAGGCCCTACCTCCTGACAGCAAGCCAGAGCTGGCTATATCCCCAATAATCCATTCCCGTTCCACAAGCCCCACCTCTGAGTGCAGGAAGCGTTAGAGGATCATCCTGACCTTAACCATAGCCTGCAGTATTTGTACTTGTCATACTTGAGGGAGCTGCTACTGACCTCTAGTGGTTGGAGGCCAGTCGTTCCACTACATCTTACTACTGAAAAGCAGCCACCTCCCCTGCTTCCCCACCCACACCTAACGCAAACCGGCCCTTCAATGTCACTTGGCTAGGAGCTTGTGGTGAGTGGCACAGCATCAGTCCTGGGCTCCGTCTCACAATTTTGGCCTCGTCCTTTGAGCTCAGTTGCCATGTGTGTTCATTTTCTGGGGCCACTCTAGCAAGTTCCCACCAACTGGGTGGCTTAAAACAGCAGAAATTTGATTTCTTACAGTTCTGGAGGCTGGAAGTCTGAATCAGCAGGGTGGGGTGTCCTCCTGGAGGCCCCGAAGGAGGAGTCTCCTTCTTATCTCTTCAGGCATCTGCTGACCGTCCTCAGCGTCCCTTGGCCAATGTGGCATCCAGTGTGACCTCCCTCTTCACGGGGACTTCTCCCTGCACATCTGTGTGTCCTGATAAGTCATTGGATTTAGGGCCACCCTAATCCAGTCAGACCTTGACTAGTTACAGCGGCAGAGATCCTATCTCCAGTAAAGCCACATTCCGAGGTTTGAGGTGCACATGAATGTTGGGAAGAGGGCACAGTTCAACCCACTATACCATGAAAGGAATCCAATGCCCCAGGACCACCACGCTGTGAGGAAGCCCAAGCTGGCCCCACATGTAGGTTACATAGCTGGAGAGAGAACCACATAGTCAACCCCTAGATATTCCTCCCGCCTATTCCAGCAGAGCCCTGAGATGGGTGAGGAGCAATCTTGGTCATCTCGGC